TAACAACTATTCCATCAATCAATGCTACTGTCAGTCCATCAACTTCTACCCTAACCATCACCTTCAATTACGCTATTACTTTTTCAAATGCAGTAGCTTTAAATTGAAATTCCTTAATGCAATTATCAATGCTCTCATCGCCACTTGTTCTTTGGACCACTTTCGAAGGATCACACAATTGACACCAGGCTGGGTAGGTGTTATATCGTCTACAATATTCACAAATTCCATTAACGGACTTTCTTTTGTCACTATAAAAATCAATTACAATCATGTATTGCTCGGTTTCTGTATTCTGTGTTATTCCATGAATTCTATACTTCTTTAATTGCATATGAAATTTAATCTTATAATACATACGTATTAATTAAGCAGTATTTTATTATTTCAAGCAACAAGCAAATACCGTAAATTCTCGAAATAACGCCCAAGGGTTAATTACGAAATTTGGCTTAAATTATGTTTAATTCGGGCCAAAACTCAAAATAGTGCCCATGCCTTCAATTTTGAGAATTTACGGTAATATATAAATATTTTGTTTTAGCTTACATTTTCTAAAAGTTCCGAAGTGCATATTTGAGAACAATTCAATTTCATAAGGTCAACGGACGATATAATGCGTGACTGTATATATTTTCCAGATTCACCTTTAATTGTTCGTACACCCTTCACCCAGGATGCTGTGAATACAAGATCTGATTCTTCTTTAATTTCTTGTAAATTAATAAGTTTATCGAATGGGATCCATTCAATCACATTTTCATATTCCGTGGCTCCGAATTGAAATTCTTTAATGAAATTATCAATCTTTTCGTTTCCACTTGTCCATTCTTGGGTTACTCTCCAAGGATCACAGGATTGACACCAAGCAAGAGAAGTGTTGTAATGTTTACAGTATGTACATATTCCATTCGAATTTTTTCTTCTAGAATTAAATTCATCTGGCATCACTATGATGTATTGGTTCGTTGCTGTATTTTGAGCAATTCCATATACAACACTTCCTTCTGACTGCATATAATTTGTAAGCTACAACATTGATGGTTTTAAATGTTAAAAACATCATGATGACTAGAGGATAATAAATAATAATTTGACTTACTTCTTTTATAAAGGTATCGCATGTTTGAGAACCATGCAATATTTTAAGATTGACACCACATGATTTCATACGTAATTGTGTATATTCTACAAGTTTACCTTGTGTATGTTCTACAAGACTGCCTTTAATTATTCTTATACCATCTAGCCAGGTAGCCATAAAGATTATTTCTGATTCATTTTTTCTAATTTTTTGCAAATTAATTAGCTTATCAAATGGAATCCATTCAATCATCTTTTCATATTCGGTAACTTTGTTTTGAAATCCTTTAATATAATTATCCATCTTTTTATTTCCACTTGTCCATCCCTTAGTTGTTTCTAGAGGACCACATAATTGACACCAAGTTGGAGAAACATAAGGTCGCTTACATTTAACACATTTTCCATAAAAATTAGATCTTTAATATGAAGTATAACATTATTAAATTGTATTTATTCCTTTAACTATATTTTTAACAAATTGATCAAAATCAATATCAACAGACCATTCTACTTACTTGCTATTTAGTATAATTAGAGGTAATATTAAATAATGAATATTTATTGGTGCATTTATTCAATAAATAAAAATTTATACTCACAAGCTGATAATATTTAAATTGATTGAAAAATATATTTAATAGTTGATTTCTTATTAAATACTACAATTATTTCATATGAACCTTTATACTTACTCCCTTTATTACGAATGATAATAAGGCATGATTAGAAGAAAATATGTGATTATAAATATTATAAATAATAATTTTATTATAAATTAATGTAATAGAGTTTTACACTAACCTCCTAATGAATTTATTTGATCAGTACAACATTTATTTATTAAAAATAAAGTTAAATATAATTATTATACTCACTGGATAGTGATCAAAGTTACTATTTGGTACATATAATTCAAGATGATCATGAAAATTTTAAGGCTAGATGTGACTAGCAAAAGAAGTGGAACTATATCATATTTCAAAAGGAAACCGTAATTATAATAATAGACCTATTTAAATAATATTTAGAAATATGATATGTGAATTAATAGTGTCATTGACACCACTACTAGCGACGGTAAAGAATTTCATACAGTATTTACTCACTTGGATAATAATCTGTGGAATATTCCTAAAAAAAATATCAAAGAATGCACCCCATATAATCGCAACTTCAAATATATTTTCAAGTATATTAAATCTATTTATTTGCTCATAACGATATAATCTTTCAGTAAACTTAGGCATGGTTTTTAAAATCGTCAAGTATTCATAATCAGTTACTGCTAAAATAACTAATACAGTTACTAAGCCTCTGTATTCCTTAATCCAATTTTTAAAAATTTCACCAATGGCAGGATCTTTAATTCACTTATAAATAGTATAGGTTACTATATAGAGGTTGATGAATAGTGGAACAGTCAGGACGAATACACTTCAAATCACGTTTTTTTGCAAAAGTTAAAAGATAAAAGGTGATAATAATTTAACATTAATTCGATTTATAATACAGTAGAAATAAATGAATTTAATATAAATACCTTGGCCAGTAAAGCTCCAATACATCATTAGAATTGTAAGCAACAAAGAAACTTGAAAGAATAAAATTAGGGATGATCAATCCAAGAACTAATATTGCGGAACTTATTGCCTCTAATTCTTTCAATTTTAACTTTTTAAATAAAACTTTTATTAATACTCACGATGAAAAGCTCAAAGAATAATGACAAATAAATTTACCTTATAACTTAATATACGAGATACTAAATAGAGTATTAAAAAAATCAAAATTTCGACAATTATTTGTACTGTGTATTCATTCCATGCATTACCTATAATACAGCAATAAGAAAATTAGGCACCAAATTCAACACCAAAACATTTTTTGAACGAGATAATTAATTTACTAAATGATGTAAAGCCGTAATCTTGGTCTAAATCATTTGTCACACCGAAAGAGAAGGCAGTGATATTTTTGTAAATAATCATATTGTTTAAATCTGAAGATGCCTCAGAAGCAGTCCTTTCAGTTTCATTATTAGCTCTATTTATACGAATTAAAATAACGATTTGATCATAAAGCAAATTATAGAATCTATTATAGAATCTATTATTTGAGCTTAAGTGAGAACGATGTATTGGCACTTTATCAGCAAGTTCATTCAATAAAGTATCAAAGTATGCTGATTGATTATCTTTTGAGAGGACTGAGAAGTTTTTGGAAGCATCTATAGTAAGACGTACTGAGCCTATAACTACTTTAATGCTTTCATCTACAAAGAAATATGCTGAGTATCATGTGATGCATATTAAATGTAAACAAACAAATGCGCACTACCTGAATATACCTTCCGGTTATCTAAGTTATCGAAAATTCAAAAAGGGTAAGACGAATAATAAAATTTAAACACATTTAAAAATACATTAAAAATATTACCTGACTTAAGAATCCAAATACCATCATTAATTCCTTTTAAAGGTCGGCTATTTTCTTTGACAAAATTATTATCCATCGTCACAAAATATTGTTCGCCATACTCGTTGAATGTGCTAGCAATGACTTTTATACTAACATTAAAACCATCTTTAGTAATTTTGCAGAAATTATTCATAGTTGCAGAAACTCTTTGTCTAATGCTATTATCCGAGGCTTTGTAGATTGTGATGTTGCCAGTTGAAAAAGCAATAGCGTAATTGAAGGTGATGGTTAGGGTAGAAGTTGATGGACTGACAGTAGCATTGATTGATGGAATAGTTGTTA